TAAAAAAAAAAAAGAAAAAGTATAACATACTATTAAGAAAATGAAAATACTAATAAAAGGAAAAATTAATACAAAAAAAAAAAAAAACAAAAGAAAAAAAAATAGATATTGACAAAAAAAAAAATAAAAATAAAAAGAAAAAATATTAAAACTAACAGAAAAAGAAAACAAAAGGATACTATTACAACTTGTGCTAGGCTTGAAAAATTATATAACAAATACAATATTTGTATATCTCTATTATAAAACTATATCTTAACAAAAAAATTTCATTTTAACTATCTGAACATCTGTGTGTGGCTTATTAGATAGAGGCCTTGTTATGTGAAGTAGCACTATATTCATTAGTAAACAAACTATGTAGTTGCAATATACCATAATATTCCAATTTGTATAGAGTAAACAATGCTGATCTTTTAATAGAAGTAAGCTGTTTTGCCTACTTTTTATTAAAATTTTTTGAAAGAGTAAATAGGTAATAGTATAAAGTATAGCTCTTGTACTCTTCTTAAAAGAAAGTATATTTTTTTTTCAAAACTAATAAAACATATAAAGCTAAGTATACTGCTAGTTTTCTTGTCAGTAAATAATAAACCCTGAACTTGTTACCAAATAGCATTTGAGAACTACTTCTAAATAACAAGTACTATCCCCACAGTGAGTAATAAGCTCTGGGCCTGTTAGCAGGTAGCATATAAAAACTATTTCTAAATAAAAGATGCCAGTTTATAGTTTTGACCAGTCTTATTTTTTTTTTTTTTTTACTATAGTTTACTGTTTTTTGCAAAAAAAAGTTTGTTGTGATTTTGGTACAAGGAATTATTAGAAAGAGTAGTTGAATTTATTAATAAATTAAAAAAAATAAAATAGAAAATAAAATAATTAAATAATTTAATAATATATAAAAAATTATTTAACAAACTTTTTTCTTAAAAAACAGTAAACTATAGTAGAAAAAAGAAGTATAAGACTAATAAAAACTATAAACTAGTATCTGTTATTTAGAGATAGTTCTTATTTACTACTTGCTAACAGACTTAAAGTTTATTACTAACTATAAAGATAGTATTTGTTATTTAGAAGTAGTTCTCATATACTACTTGCTAACAAGTTCAGAGTTTATTATCTACTAACAAGAAAATTAGTAGTTTACTTAGCTCTATACATTTTACTCCTTTTAAAAATATATATATATTCATTAAAAAAAAGTATAAAGACTATTTTTCTACACTATTACCCACTTGCTTTTTTTATAAAATTTTTGAAAAAAGTAAGCAAAATAGCTTATTCTAATCAAAAAATCACTATTATTTATTTCTTCTAATTTGGTAGATTGCAACCACATATTTTGTTAGATAAACAAACATTTCACTACTTCATGTGACTCATTAAGAACCAAGAGTTATATAATAACCAAAAGCAAATATATAGTTTGAAATTAGTTATAAATTATTTTTTACTTTGTATTTAAAGATATAGAAATATTGTATTTGCTATATAATTTTTTTACAAATCTGACACAAATTATAATAGTACAATTTGTATATAGGCTTTTTTGTTTTTTGCTTTTTGCTACTTGTATAAAGTAATACTCTTTTTTTTGTTAATCTATTTTAGGCTTGACTTTTTGTATTCTTTTTTATATATTTATTGATCTATCTTTTTTTCTTCTTTATATTTTCTTCTTTTCATTCTGTTTGTGCTTTGTTTTTTATAATACTTCATTTTCTTTGTAATATATATTTTGTATATTTAATAAAGAATAGTTTTTTCTTTTTTGCTCTTAGTAGAGAAAAGAACTAAAGAGTTTAAGCTTGAGATAGGCTAACAAAGTTCTCCAAGTTAATTAGATTTGATGTGACAGGTTGTAGCAGAGCATGTATTATATAGCTAGATAATACTAAATTTGCAATATCAAATATATAGTTCAGTTTTAGAAAAGAGATTTATTCTTCTTAAAATTATTATAATAAATTTGTAATTGAATTTTTACAAGACCATTAAAGAGTTAAAAAAAAAAATTTAAAAACATATAAAAAATGTTTTAAAAATAAAAAATAAATAATAATTTAAAAAATAAAAAATTTATCAATAGCACTATTTTTGAAAAGTTAAAAATAGCAAGATTTACAAAAATAATTTTTTTAAACAAATACCTAAAAATTTAATTAGTTTAGAATATTGAAACAATTATATAAGAATATATGTAAATTAAAATTAATTATCAATCATTGTTTTGAACTATTCAGGTTTTTGGGTTTTTAGATATTTATATAAAAAACTTTTTTGTAAAGCTCACTATTTTTAACTATCTCAAAAATAGCAATAATTTAAAAAATAATTAAAAAATTAAAAGAATATTAATTAAAAAATTAAAAAATAAAAAAATATTAATTAAAAAAAATAAAAAATAATAAAATATTAATTAAAAAATAAAAAATAATAAAACTTTAAAAAAAATAATTAATAAAAGAAAGTTACTATGTTTAACTGCAGCAAAATTACCTCTTTTAGTATTTTTAGGGTTAGGGTGCAGCTTTGAGATATATAGGAGTTTTTTTTATAATATAATATACATTAGATACAAGGTTTTAATTTTTAGTTTTTGTAATATTTTCAGGGGTCCTGAACATTTTTACTTAAGATATCTGATCCTGTTTACTTAATATATTTTTAAAATATAGCACCTCCAAAAACACCCAGAAAAAATTACCCCCAGTTAAGATTAGCAATACTCATAATAAAATTAAAAAATAAAATAAATTAAAAAAAATTAATTTATTAATAAATAAAAAAAATATTAAAAAATAAAAAATATTATTAAAAAAATTGAAACAAAAAATAATAAATAAGCTAATTTTGATTTATATAAAATTTATTTAAACCTAATTTGGATCTAAATAAACTCAATTTTGGTTTATTTAAATCTAAAACAGATTCAAGATAGATCTATTTAAATTCAAGATAGGTCTATTTGGTTCCAAAACAGGTTTATTTGAACTTAAAATAGATTTATTTGAACTTAAAAAGGTCTATTTGAATATAAGACAGATCTATTTGAACTCAAAACAGGTTCATTTGGGCTTAAAATGGGTTTATTTAGACTCAAGATAGGTCTATTTGGACTCAAAGTAGTTCTATTTAAATATGAAATTGATAGAGTATATAATTGATTTTCTGTTTACTTGATTTTTGATATTATATAAAAAAATTTATTTATATTAGGGTTTGGATTAGGATTTAAAATCATGTGAATGGAAAATTGATCCTATGTTCTGGCATTGTTATTTAAACATAAGTTAGGTTTATTTAAATCTAAACTAGATTATTAAACCTAGATCTAAAACAAAAAAGAAAATTAAATACCTCATATCCGTGGCAATGCCCAGGCCCTGAGAGCTAATATAATTTAGGCCTAAGAATTAGAAAAATAAGAACCTCAACCCCGGGCAATGCTTTGGCCCTAAGAGCTAGTATAAAAGATTCTAGTACTATTCAAATCGTCTCATCGAGAGAATCGAGAGGATTTGAATGGTACCAAAATCATCTATATTGGACTACTATATCACGAGATATCGCGATTTAATCAAACTTATTTTAATTGTTATTTTGTACAGATTTGAATGTCACTTTGTACAAGTTTATCATTTTGTATGAAATCGAATGTCATTTTGTATGAAATTAAATGTCCTTTTGTACGAAATTGATGTCAAAAGAGATAATATGAAGCGACGTTCCAGAACTAACGGATCCTATTTTCCTAGTTATTATAAGCCAACTGTAAAAATTACCATTTTGTATGGTGCTCTCGCGAAATCGACAATGACATGGGGTAACGTGGTAAAACAATCTGTGATACTTGATGCATTGAAATTCTCGTTATTAAGCAAATTAAGCTTTTTTAATAGATAATTATTATATGAGTGACGCCAAGGAAAAATGGGGCATTGGTTTATCATTGATTATTTAAATAAATAATCAATGATAACCATTTTCCCTTGGCGTCACTCACAACATGCTTTTAGAAAATCCAGACAAATTATGAAGCTCTTGAAAAAATAATTCAGCCAATAAAATGTCAAATTCTTTTTTATAACAAAATCTGGACAAAATTCATTTATTTATATGAAAACAAATTTTACTACTAAATAGTTGGTTCGTTATAAGAAACAGTTAAATGCTCAAAGACAAGCACATACGACTTTTAGTTTTTTTGTTTTAATTATGTTGAATATGTTTTTTACGGTTTTTACAATCAGACTCTATATATCTCCGGCAGTTAAACATTTACGAATAAATGTGCCAGAAATAAAAAGGCAAGAATAGATAGGATAACAATCGAATAATTAGTTTCGCATAGACTAATTTGTTTGAATTATGAAAGAAAAATTCAAAGTCTTATTATGCCTTACCATTCGCCATGAGCTTGTCATACGCATAGGTTTTGCTATTCAGGAATTTGTCAATCAGAAATTCGCTTGGCGAAAAGGTTCGTCATTTGCCAGGTATTATTAGCTTTACGCTTTTTAGTCCTATAAAGAAAGTGTAAAGCTTGTTACATGTTTGTGTGATTATGTATAATGATAAATATCTGGTGGAACCAAATTAAGAATTTGTAATACAGCATTATCGTTATCCGTCAAGATAAGTGAGTGCCGTATAAATAATTTTCTAATTTAGGATCTTAAGTTTAATCTCGTGAAATTCATATTTAAAAACTGGATTGGATAGTTTTTAACCATGCTAGAGATAGCTAGTTAAAATTTTATATGTTTGTAAATTATACAATGGCAGACATCTCAAATGTAACAAATAAATTATCCGTTCTATGTATCATTATCAAATTTTTCATATCATTATCAAAATATGTAATACGTTGTACTGCTTTAACCTAATAAACTTGGGAACCAATTTTATTTTTTCTTTCAGTTTATTATTAATATGCAACAGAATTACCCTTATTTAAATCCAAATCCTCGTAATTTTAGTTGAGTTAAACTATGCCCGAAACTCAGTACTTTAAGCAACAAGATGGCTCAAAAATTGCTTATAAAATTCTTGAACCACGCAATCCAGAAGATATAAAAAACGAAATTCCCCTTGTATTAATCATAGGATTGTAAATATTTCTGTTCATGAGTATTTTGATTTAAACTATTTGTATAATTGTCAAATTAACATATGATAATTAAGGTGGTGCGTTAAAGAAGAATTTATTGGTCTGGAAGAAGGTTAAATATGAATTCTCATTTTAGGTCATAGACGCTAGTAAAATTTTTATTTTACTAAATCATGACAATAAAATAAACCAACTTATTTCATTGTTTATTATAATCAATAATTTTATTTTATGAATTTCTATACATGTAGAGAAAAGTAACTAATTTTATTAATTTTTAATAAATAATAGAATTAGCAAAGAGTCAAAAAGGTTAGTTACATTACTTTAATTTAATTATTTAATTTCTTAACTAATATTCAAAATTATCCGTTTACAAGTAATTATATTTGATAACCGTGGAATGGGTGAATCAAGCGTTGTTTCTTCTGATGATTCAATATCACTTGATTTGATGGCACAAGATACAATTGCATTAGTTAAACATCTCGGAATCAAAAAATTTAATCTTCTAGGATGGTCTATGGGAGGTAATGTTAAATGTTTAAATAGTTAATTCAAAGATTACTGTATTCTGCATAAATTAATTTTATGTATAGGTTGTATCGCTTTTTACGTTGCCTTAAATGTTCCATCCGATCTTAAGTTAGAAAAACTGATTATTTGTTCAAGGTATATATATATATATAAGCCTTACCATTTTAATGAATTAACAGAAATATTTATTAATTTATGTGTTTCATCTTCAATTTAGTTCGATTCGACCACCACCACCTTCCGCTTTCTATCATACCATTTATAATTTACCAAAGTCACCAGATCCTTTAAAGAATGTTCAAGAAAAAATTACCCCCAGTTAAGATTAGCAATACTCATAATAAAATTAAAAAATAAAATAAATTAAAAAAAATTAAT